GGGGGCGGGAAGGATTCCGGTGAGGCAAAGGCAGAGACGTGTGTAAAGATAAAGATGAACACAATGAACCAGGTCAAGGTCTGTGTCTACATCCATGGAATGAACAAGAGCATCCAACTGGTCAGACACAGGCTTACTTTTGAAGACCTGATCGCGCAGTCTGCCCATAGCATAGGAGTGATCGATAACTGTCACCTCGCCCAGGCCTTCTTCCTTCCAGATATGTGATGCAGCCCTGCATAAAGCCGCAGAAACAGCCTTGATACATTAACAAGGCCGAAAGTTCGCATAAGGCCCCAGAAACAGCCTTGGCGTGGAACCAGGTCAAGGCCTGTTTCTACATGAACAGCTGTGCGTTCACAAACATTGAACCAGATCAGAAAACAAACACAAGTCCGCATGTAAGTTAACTGTTCGCCGTACCAATTGCATTGTGTGTCTACATTTTCAGAGTACAGTACCTCGTCAAGCAGGCCTGGATTTCTTTTTTTTTTTTGCTTTTTATTCTTCAATACTTTATTATTTTTATTTATTGCGTTTATAAATTATAATTTCTTTTTTCACTGTTATTGCGAACAGTCGCAACTCAGGAATTACCACGATCAATCATTGAGTGCACAATTACGTACAGGTACGACGAACAGTAACGTCAACCATCGATGGGCTGATATTTTCAGTCTACGCCAACTCTACGGTTAAAAAAAAAAACGACAGGGGTAACGAGGATTAAACATCCTGTGTGTTCCCACAAGCGCAACACATCCCCCGGTCGTGAACGAATGCATATAACCTACTATTCCGGTCAGATACACCATGCATTCTGTTCAAGGGAAGGCGGCAGAGTCTTAACACCACCGGAGTGGTACTGGGCCAAGGGGTTCCCTAACTGGTTTTTCCAGAAGGTCCCCTTGGGAAGTTCGTGAGAAACCGCCGGGGGATTTGGTTGCTTGCACTTGAATTGGTAAAATAATAAATAATAAAATTAGCTTCGATTTTGGCAACCGGTAGGATGAGTATATTACTATATGTTGACGACCGTCATGTTCTCCCTCAACAGTCGGACGATGCGGCTCGGTAACTGGTCCATTGTCAGTAACTGACAGTAAGTGGCTGTGCGGACAGAAGGGGTTAGTGTCGGGTCGAAGTGTTGGTGCGTTAATGCTAGCGCATCGAGGAATGAGAACCGCACCCTTCCGGGTTTAGCACCCTCGCTGTTTTGTTTATAGAAGCATTGAAATAATACTTAGTGCTCTTGAGTTTGTTTTTTTTGTTTTCTTTTTGCCTGTTTGTTTTTTTGACGTTTGTAATATGACCCTGCATAGTTTGTTCGCAAACATTTCGACAACATTGCTTGTAGCGATGCGACGAAAAACCCTGAATTTTTGGCCTTCCATTAACCACTTGTGTGTTTTGTCGGGTCATTACAGAAGGAAAAAAAACAGGAAAAAGAGAAAAGGACTGCTGAAAACAGATGTACTGGCCAAAGTGAGATTTACCAAATTGAATAGTCCAACATCCACAAAACCCTTTTTTTAAGTTTTTTATAATTTCGGGGGGGGGGGGGGGGCGGGGTGGGGGGGGCGGCCGGGGGCGGGGGCGAAGGAGGGGGAAATTTCAAGGGGGGTGTCCACGGAAAGAAAGACACAAGATTCATCACCCTGCACAGTCACTAAAGCTGCCATAACGAGCCGTATTTTTTATTTCTCTAAAATTTGTGAGGAACAAGCCCTCAAGTGGCCCTATCAGACATCACATTGTTCTGGGCCAAGGCCCCAGCAAGCCAAGTGCCCGCCCTAAGTGAAGGCGGGCCTGAATATTTGTCACAGGCCAAATTCGACATTTCCATACGTGGGTATTCAGGCTCTTGCAGCGCGTCAGTTGGTTGAGTGAACGCGCGAGCCTCACTAAGTTGCGCCATACAGTTGGCGCAGGCCTCGAAAGTTGTGCCTGGGCACCTATACACCAAAGCAGGGCCGATACATTGAGAAGCAGGCCGTCGGCCTTTGGAAAAGCAGTACAGCCGACGCACCTACCTGGGGGCCCTGCGCAGATGCAGCTAACAGCCCAAGTCCTGAGACTCAGGCCGCGCCCAACTGTAAAGAGCCCAGGCCCTCAACTGTAAGTCTCGGCCTGGGCACAGGGTCTGAGGCCCAACTGGAAGCTTCTGGAAGCTTCCAGCCAGGCCACACGCAGCATGCAGCAGGCTACCACTTCCATAAAGGAAGTGAGGCAGCCCAGGCGAGGCATTCTGGCCAGCGCTGGCAATGCGGAAGTGCTGCTGCGCTCTCGCTTGATGCTGCGCTGCTGCCAAGGGCGCTGACGGGGCTCGAGAGGTGAGGTGGGGCCCTGCAGGGCAGCTGGGCGCAGGCAGCCATAGCCGGGCTGCTAGGCGCCAGGGGGTACAGCGGATGATCGGGTGGTCTTCAGGGAGTGAGGCCCTGTGTGGGGTAATCAAGGTCTGATTGAGGGTGACGAGATACGTACCTGGTACATGAAGAGAGGTCGCCGATGGTGTGGACAGTCATGTACATTGGTCTTCGTGAGCCGAAGTGATCCTGTTGTGTGAACCAGCTGTAGAGTAGGATAGTATGGTAGAGTAGGCTGGGCGCTGTGCGCCAGACAGAGAGAGCGACTNAGTATGGTAGAGTAGGCTGGGCGCTGTGCGCCAGACAGAGAGAGCGACTCTGGATACTGTGTTGGTGTGGCCTACGGGCTTGGACATTGGCTCAATACTTCATTGTATTGCTCTTTATGGATAGTTTTCTCGGTGCATTTGTACTCTCTACTTGGGATACTACTACTTGCTCAGCTGTGTGATTTCGCAACTTGGTTTTATGTATATCGCTCACACTCATATTCCTTGCAAATTCATCTAAATTAAAAAAAGTAAAGAAGAAAGAGAAGCTACCATTTTTCAAATTTGTCCCTGTCATCTTCCCACAGTAGTAGAAACATAGAAATCCATCAGAATTTCATGTGGTAGATTTTATTTTTTTTTATTTTTTTTTTAAGGGTCGCAGCTTTGAGATATGATCATTGAGCTGACTGGCTCCAGGTAATTCAGAATCTTTTGTTCTGTTCATCTGGTTGCATCTGGATTCCAACCATGGTTACGATCCGGACGTCCAGATCCCATTCCGTTCCACGTCTGGATGTCTGGTCCGGTAGGTCCGGAAATTTTTTATTTTTATTTTTTTTTGTTCGTTCAAGGCCCACCCCCCAAAAAAAAATATTTTTGGATTTTTTCAATTTTTTTGACTATTTTCTGGCCCTTTCAGAACGCCAAAGAGGGCCAGGCTGAGACTGATTCTGATTGTGTGTGTGTGTGTGTGTGTGTGTGTGTGTGTGTGTGTGTGTGTGTGTGTGTGTGTGTGTGTGTGTGTGTGTGTGTGTGTGTGTGTGTGTGTGTGTGTGTGTGAGAGAGAGAGAGAGAGAGAGAGAGAGAGAGAGAGAGAGAGGTGCACAGGCTGGATACTGCCTTGAGGTAGGTATGGCCCAATTCACTCCCTGTCTCTAAACCTTCTGTAACCTTTTCTTTTCTTCTTCTTCTTCTTCTTCTTCTTCTTTTTTGTCTGGATTTTTCCGGACGTCATGCTATGTCAGGGTCCGGATCCAGGGTAACCATGATTCAAAATTGGGTCTGTATTTCATGAGTGTACCAACTGAGATAGGCACGTTGGTATAGATTTCAATTTTCATGCTGATCCAGAAACCGCAATGTTTTTTTAATTAATCCATTTATTACATACTCAATCACTATATCTAGTATTATCTACAGCTTTTAGCGTACTTCAAACTTTTAAAAATTACATAAATCAAGTTATTATCCAGTTATTATCTAGGCTACCAGCCGGGCCGCCCGGGTCCCGGGTGCCCAGCCCGTGCAAGGATCAGGTAAGGTCCCAGCAAAAAAAAAAAAAAAAAAAAAAAAATCCAAAAATTCTGAAAAAAAAACTATGTTATGAAGAAAAATAAACTGAACAACTTTTGCCTCAGGGTCACATCGAATTCTTCACCAAATTTAAAATAAAAAATAAAATTCAAAAATATTTTATTTATTTTTATTTTTTGTAATTATTTTGGCCCGGCCGGGCAAGTGACCACGGGCCACTCTGGTAGCCTAGGTTATTATTGAGTTATTATTGAGTTATTATTGAGTTATTATTGAGTTGTTATTGACTATATTTACTACACACTGAATCAGTATATCGGGTACTATGTCCAGAACTTTTTGAGTTTTACGTTTTAAGTTTTAACTAAATTTATTTCTTACATTCTTAATCAGCATCAATGGTGGGAGGAAACGTTGAACGGACGACAAGGACCCCTTACCGAATGCAGAACAGAGGATAACTTACCACACCGCGGTGCCGGGACCAGAGCCAAAGTCGAGCAATCGCTGTGGACGGAAATCGGGTATGCGCATTGCAACCTACAACAATCAAATGGCAAGAGAGAGAGAGGGAGGGAGGGCGGAGGAGAAAGAGCGCAGGGAGAGTGAGACCGAGAGAGAGTGAGAGAGATGGAGATTCAGAGATGGCAGTGGAGAGAGGTGGGGGGAGATGGGGAGAGGGAGAGAGGGAGAGACGGAGAGTCCCAGAGGGTGGGCGGTGGGGGGGAAAGGGGGAGTAAAAGAGTTCCAAACAAAATGTTCCAAACGCTTGGGTGAGAGGATACACATTGCACACTTAATTAAAAAAGAGAGAGAGAGAGAGAGAGAAAGAGAAAGAGAGAGAGAGAGAGGACGCATTCTGACGGCCCAATTTCTGCCTGCCGTGGTGGCGGAAACAATAACCATCAAGCACCAAGGAAGGAGAGAGGGAGAGGGCAAAGGACAAGGATTGATGCACCTTTCCGTCTAAGTTCTTCTAACTAATATGAATCAAGATGTGTTGCTCTAGTTGTTGTGTACAGGCAAAACTGCCACAACATGAAGAAGTCAGTGGTTCTTTTCTTTGCTTTCCTGCTTTTCTGGCTTTGAGAAGCAAAAAAAGCGCAAAGATCTGAAACCCCTGCTGTGGGCAAAAGCATCCCCTATAGGCCATCAATCACCACATCGGGAGAGGGGGGGGCAAGAGAGGAAAGGGGGGGGGAGAGGGGGGGGATGGATGCGGCAACAAATGCAGGGGAAAAGCACCCTATAGGCTGGGGGTAATAAGCGCAGACATGGATGGGGTATAGGGTGGGTTTCCCCTGCAACGCGACAGAGTGGGCAGTATGCGCTAATAAGGCAATGACGGTGGAAGAACAAGCACAGACAGAGTTCAGCCAGAGGCAATCGAGGAGTGTCCGAGGGGAGAGAGGAGTAACACCGAAGCAGCAACGGGCTCAAAGAGGGGGCAGAGCAAAGGGTGTGTGCAGAGGGAGGGAGAGCAGGCAGATAGTCCAGCATTCGGGGAGGGCAAGCAAGAGGGTGCTGCAAACACTTTCCTAAGTTTCCTTTCACAAAGTATATACTAAATCTGCAACACTTTCCTTTTAAACAGACGAACTTCTTAAGTTTTTTTTTTTTTTTTTGGTTATCTATTTTTTAAGTTTCAACGGCAATCTGCCGGTAAAAAAACAGCAGCAAAAAAAAACAAACACGTATAATATTGTATTTAGAGAAAATTTTAGACAAACGATTGAGTTTGTACATGTAGATAAAGTTGATAAACTACACGTAAATGGTGAACACTCAAAAAAACAGAAAAAAAGTACAGAGATTCTAAGTGTAGGGAAGAATGAAAAGGTAAATGAAAAGGGAAATTAACTTTTTTTTTTTTTTTTTTGCAGTACCTCACTCAAGATTCGATACAGCGAGCTGTACACAGCAGGAGCCCTTGATGCCAAGTACGCTACCGCCTCCTTCTCGCCGTACACAAGTCGTTTCCCCGCCGCCATTCTCTTTTCCCTTTTCTGCTCCTTTTCTCGTTGCAGTCGCGTTCGTCTCCCAAGCACTTGAAACTCCATGTTGGCGTCTCCCGGAACGGCAGCCTGTCTTCCCGTTCCTCCATCTCCCAATTCTCCCTCCCTTCCTCTCCCCCCCCCTTCTGTCAACGAATCAACGGCCATAAGCTCATCATCCGTTGTTGTATTCAAGCCACTGCTTCTCTCCCTCAGTAGCACTGACAACTGCAGCACATCCCTCTTGACCTTCTTTGAGGGGTACTCTTTTGGGAGATACATAGTCATCCACATCCAGATCCCAATCCCAATCCCAATCCCGATCCCAATCACGACTCCAGATCCAGATCCAGATCCAGATCCCAATCCCGATCTCAATCACGATTCCAATCCAAAGCAGTCCAGAAGATAACCGTGCAGATCCCAATCCCGATCCCGATCCCAATCCCGCTCCCAATCCCGATCCCAATCCCGATCCCCATCCAAAAACAGTCCACAAGAACACCAAGTCCTCGTGAGAGTCCTCATTATGCATTTCCCAACCCCAGTCTCAACCCTAATCCCGATCCCATTCCAAAGCGGTCCAAAAGATCACCAAGGAAGGCACCTGGCAAAATCCCGATCCCATTCCAAAGCAGAGGCCAAAAAAGCAGGCAAGACAAATTGCCACAACAGTCCACTCCATAAGATATTAACCCTACAATGGCCAATTGCCAGACACATCTGGCCCACCCACCTCCCTATAAGACAAGTCTCTCTGCGTCCCCTAAACCATAAGATAACCCCAAACCACAGCAAATTGCCAAACCTGAAACGGTATTCACCAGTTCGAAGTAGCTGATGCAGATCCCAGGGCTCGATCCCTAGTTCCCCAACTTACCTGTGTACAATACCTGTGTCAACTCGAAGAATTGAACCTGCGACCTGTAGAACCGCCAGTGGTAAGTAGGTCTGTCGTAGGTCTATAGGTAGCTAGGATTCGATCTGTAGACCTGTAGATTAGAAGTCTAGCTGCAGTCCTTCTAGAAGGT